AACAAGTGTATTCCTAACATTTAACATGAGATATGTCCTTTGCTCTTGTTGCCCCATTCAGATTCCTATGCCAACACCCAGGAAATAATTCTCTTAGCAGGTGCAGCCCCCCTCTAGTTACCTGTGGGCTGACACACTAAACATAGCCAGCATTCAAATGATAGATGTAATTGCTTCATTACACAAATCCCACCTTTTGCCACAGCTGTGGCCAGGATGTATCAGTCTGCCGGGAACCAGAGGGACCCCAACTCTGCTTAACAGCTAGGTTCATCTTTTCCAGAAAATATCTTATATGGTCAAAGGGCTTCAGTAGGTGGTAAACTGTGCAGCTTTGTAAAACGTTCATCAACTGTATTGTGATACATGTAGGCCATTCCAACCACCCCTATTTGTACACTGACAACTGTACATGTGCAGCTCAATGTACAACCCTGGCATTTGGGAGTAAAGGCTGGGTGCCAGGGTGAATGAACTCATGCATAGGAGTTACATCAACCCATGCCAGCCAATCAAGGTGGCCGATAGTTCAAGATGCCAGAAGAAGATGGAAATGAAAGCTTCGAGGATGGAGTGAAAAGGGAACTCACAGATATCTCATCGCTGGAGGGGGCACTTTACAAAGTAAGAGTGTCATAATGTGCAAATCTGCTGTGAACATTATGACATAGGCTGCTGGGGTCCAGAAAGGTTTAATTCTGCTTTAAAGAAAAGGCCCCATTCATACTTGGGTGATTAGGAAATGTTTGCAGAATCGTCGTAATTCTGCTCGTATTTCCAAATCACAGCAAAGCACACATGCGCTTGGATGCCATTCATCCTAAGTGGTACCCCAAACGTAGTGCGATTTTGCTGTGTGACAAAGTATGTAAGAATCGTGGCAAAACGTGTGTAAAAACAACGCCTGGCTCAGGGCCAAAATTTGATCCCTGAATTTCTTTGCTGCAACAAACATGCATAAGCATGACACGTGGAATTGTCTGAGCATCATCCACAAAGAATAACGAGCAGAAACGCAAGTAACCACTACGTCAATTGTAAATGGGGCTTAAGTATTCCTGCTGTGTTTCAGATAGGAAGGAATGAAGGTGAAGGAAACTGCTAGGTTTATATGAAGGATCTAGGTGTTTTTCGGCTGCAGTTGTCAGTGTAGTGTCGGGGGATTAAAGCATTTTTTTTTGTGCTTTGGAGGAGTTGTCAGGAGCTTTGGAAAGAGTTGTCTTTAGAGGTCATTGGAGGTAAGATTAGGAGAGAGTCTTAGCTACATGGAAAATAAACCTCTAAGGTATATTTTTACTTCTGTGTGTGCAATGAAAACAAGATGTACAATTTCATTAGCCATGTAATGGGTTTGATGTGCTGTGGTGAATAAAAGAAAATGTTAATTTTTCTTTGTACTTTGATTCTGCTCGAATGACTGTAACTCTCCTAACTGAAATAAAAGGGTTAATATGATTGCATTAATTGTATTGCAAATGCATGATGCAACAGAACTGCCTGATGTGGCCTGGGGAATTGGTGGTAGATGCTGGAGAAGGCAGTATTTGCTTGATCATTGGCTGCTTTGTTTTTTGTTCAAAACTTTGCAATATACTGTAATCTATATTGTTTTTAATTCGTTATAATCTATATTTTTTTATATTTACTTTTATTAACTATGCCACACTGAAAATGTTTGCTCTAAGAGACTGCTGTCTGAATTTGTTTAAACAACTTATAGATTTTTGGACATGCTGACTAGCAAACGTTTGTATGATTTGACTGGAAGGACACACCATGTTAGTGCAACAATTGACTGTGTGCTTGGAGTGTTTAATTGATTTCTGTTTTTACTGTGTGTGGTGTGTTTCTGTGATACAGGGCTTATGTACACAAGCAATATATTACATTTGTGGGGATGCAGCTCGATCCCAGATAATTATATACAGAATATAGGTAGGAAGAGTTAAAGTAATTTGAGTTGATGTGTTGGCTTTGGCAGAGTTCCCGTGTTTAAACCTAAAAACAAAAAATTATTACATTTCAGCTCACCAATTCTTAGTTGTGAATGCTACATTGGTTTTCTTTGTATGTCTTTTCCTTTTGTTTTCACATGGTGAATCAGGCAGTAGGTCTGTTATAGTTCAGCTTTGTTTTAAGAGACCAAGCTGTCCAGACAAGATAGCTGTTAGAGTGTTGTAAAAAAGCACTTAACACTGGCAAGGGTGCTTACAGGTCAGCTTTTATTCACTTATGTAATACATTTGATCCCAAAAGGAAAAACACAGCCTGGCTTCAGGTATCTTCAGGGGTGCCTTGGAAAAATGCCTAAAAATTGCTTACAAGCCAGCAGGTGGATGAAGCCTGCTTTTTAGTTACACAAAGCCACAGGTTTTCATTGTGCACCATTACAACCTTACAGGCTCTGACCTCCTAACAACCAATGACATCATTGGTTGATCAGGAGAACAGCGGGATGCTTGTGCTGCATGCTTGTCTGCCCCTCCCCAGCCCCTCTCCATCTGCACTGGTGTCACGTTAACTGAGTGAGGGAGAAAAACATTGGAATACTAGTCAGCACCCGGGTGCAAAGCTGGATTTGCTTTGGAAGAAAAAATCGCCTCTGACATTGGGCATCCTACATGTGTGGATGTTGCTGCATTATGTAAAACTCTCTAAGTTTAACTTTTTACATTTAAGGCTACTTTCACACTGTTGCGGTTTGACTGTATTGTAGGTGAGGTGTGCCCATAGGTTTGGTGAGGTCTAGATGTGCTTTTCCATAGAGTTCTGTTATGTCCCGTGGTTTTGGTGCACATTCAGAAAGTACACAAAACTGTCCAAAGATGTCTGCTATATTACTACATCCAGAAAGGTGTCTGCTATAATACTAGAACATGCAGGTGTGGCAGAGAGCACAACAAGTTTTTGCATTTTTTTTTACATGCGAGAAACGGCGGAAGAAATTCTTGACCATTTTAAAAATTACGCCACACCAAAACGTATGGTACATTGTGACCATTTCTTTTGGCACACACCTGATGGTAAGATGCACATCTGCAGGAGGGCTGTACAGTTTGTGCCTGTTCCTACAATGAACAATCGTGAACATAGCCTAAGACAGGAGGTGTGTTACTGGACAGATGACCGGGAGTGTCACGTACCTAACCGGAGGCTGCAATAGAGAGAGGGCTCCCCTTATGGCTAAGTGCAGTGCGCCCCTGCAAGTGGAAACAGGAGGTGCAGTGCCCAAAGAAGCACGGGTTGCCAATGGTGTTGCTGCTTGGAAATGTCTGATGAGATGGAGCCCGTGGGTGCTCCAGTTGCAGAAGGAGTTTCTCCAGAGAACACGTGGACCCCGGAGGATGGGTAGTGTAGTCAGTAGCCAAAGCCAGGATCAATATGGAACAGCAGACAAGAGCAATGTCAGGATCAAGCCGGGGTCATACATGGAGTAGCAGCAGACAGGAGCAAGGTCAGGGTCATATACAGAGTAGCAGCAGACAGGAGCAAGGTCAGGGTCATATACAGAGTAGCAGCAGACAGGAGCAAGGTCAGGGTCATATACAGAGTAGCAGCAGACACAAGCAAGGTCAGGATCAAGCCGGGATCATACACAGAGCAGCAGACAGGAACAAGGTCAGGATCAAGCCGGGTCGGTAACAGGAAATCATCAGGGAACACAGAAACGGGAGGGGCTGCCAATAATCCAGCAGTCACTGAGCAGAGCTGCAGTCTTTATAAAGGCCACTGAGTGTCAGCAATTAGTGCACCCTGTGTGTGCTGGTGTGTTTTCGTGCACAGGAATGCTTTATTATGTGTCACCCGCCTATGCACATGCGCACTTCTTTGCGTGAATTGGCGTGGCCATATTTTGCATTTGCCCAGGTTTCCTTGTCTTTTCTTCTGACGGAGACAGGCCTAAAAAATAAAAATAAAAAATAAAAATGCAGCCATCACATCTAATGATTCGTAAGCTGAAATATATTTTATTTTAGAGTGAGTTAATTCAGCTGCTGGCCTTCTGTAAAAGATGTCGAAGGGAAGAGTGCATAGTATAAATGCTGTATAAGCTAGTGTTTTTCAATGGTGATGCCATTTGGGTTCCCCCAAGGTGTCGCAAGCACAGTACCTAAATTGTCCTGGATCAGCATCATAAGTTGCCATGTGCAGGTGGGCCAGCCTCCAGCACCATAACAACCGATGACGCTCCAGGGCAGGATGCACAGTGTCACTTGTCGCTATGGTGCTAGCAGCTGGCCTGCTCAAACCATAGCAACACATGACACTGATCCAGGGCAGGTGGCATGTAGGACCACCTCAAGCATTCAGGAGAGGATGGAAGTCTGCCTCCCCCATACGTGCTCTGCCTCTCACCCTCCATCTCACTGCTAGAGCCAAAAGGTTGGGCTTTGATGTAAAGAAGGTGTTGTCATATGAGGGGAATCTGATTTTATATGAGGATTCTGTGATGGGAGTACTCTGATACAAAGGCAAGACCTCCTGAAGTGAATGAAGTTAATCAAGTTGTGCTCATCGTCCCAGGCTCAGGTTTCCCATTGATAAGAAACATTTATGTTTTTAGATTAGAAAGCCTCAAGATTTGCATACTTTTTTAAAGAGTTCTCTGTCTGGGGAAAAAAGGTTGAGAAATGCTGGTTTAACACGGCCTTTGTCCAGGGAACCCTACAGCTCCTCCAGAGGATGATAGGGGTTCCTTGAAGAATGAGCATTCTGTGTCTCGGATATCTCTTCACTGACACAAAGGATCTTTTTAGTTGTTTGTAAGATGAGGATTCTTCTCACTGACCTTTCACACTAATGTGTGCTATAGATATTGTAATTGTTAGTAGGGTTGCCTGAGGCTGGAAATTTATTTCATGGGTTCCTCCATTTAAAAAGCAAAGCTGGTATAAGCATACCAATGGGATCAGAAAAGAAGTGCTGTCATGTTTAATATATATGATTAAAACATTTTTCCATTCTTGCCCTTATCTGTTTCTAGGGAGCTCTTCACCACAATGCCTGCAGGAGTATCTTGGCCTCAATACTTGAAGATACTCAGTGCCAGCCTTCTTTCCATGTTTGCAGGTTCAGAACTTGTACACAGATACTACAAACCTGATCTTGTATGTATGTCTAAAGCCTTTTAATACCAAAAATAATTCAGTTAATTTAAAAGGATTTCAAGGGAATTGCATCATTGTTGCAAGTGCATGTTATAAGTGCATATTATGCAATAACAGTTTATGAAACCTAAGAAGTGTGTTTCTGTGGCATGGTTCATGCAAAAAGTCTTTTTTTTTTTATTATTATTTTTTTATTTATACCTGCAGAGTGTTTTTTTTTTCACAGTACTTTTGTTTTTAGAGACGGTTTTGTATGGACAACTGCAGCATGTTTTTACATTCCTGAGAAATAGCAGTGTCCGCTGTGTTTTATTAGGCTTCAAGTAAACATGCTGTATCTTCCTGATATAAAGATATTTAGTTATCTGTCATTTTTTTTTTATTGGACTGTATGAATAATTAGGAGGGATTCAGTTTTACAGAAACAACACTTTCAACTGAGCTAAAGCAAACCTATTCTTTCTTTTGCCATTAGAAGTAAATGGCAAAATCATGGAAATGTATTAAAATAAACTTGCCAGCCATTTTAAACTGTTAAAAGTAAGCCTTGCCTTTTCACAAGGCACATTGTAAGCACCTAAAACCTTTCTGTTGCCAATTGTAATTGGTCACTAGGACCCCAACTTCCCTGTCTAAGCTCTATTTGTTGTCCATCTGTCCAGTAAGAACTTCTTTTTTTGGTAGCTTGTGGTTCTTGCTTGGGGCAGGATTTTAAATTTTAGAAATGACATAGCTGACCTTTTTCTGAAAATGTTAGCTGCCTGGTTGTGTCTGGCTAAAATATGTTACAACATGCATGAAGCAATGTTGCAAAATGTCAGATTTTTCTCTTGGCTTGTTCTTGGTTAGTGATTTAAAATGTTGAAGCCAAAGCATGCCAGCCAACCTACTTGCATTTGTCAGGAATGGCAACCTACAGATATATCTCATGACCGTTAACTTCAGGATGGCATTAAGATAGACTTTTCTCTCACTCCAGGCCTACTCGACTAGTCCAATGTTTAACCACCCTAATACCAGGCAATTTTACCTCCTTCCTGCCCAGGCCAATTTTCAGCTTTCAGAGCTCAGTTTAAATGGCAATTGCGCGGTCATGCAACACTGTATACAAACTAAGTTTTTATAATGTTGTTTACACACCTAGAGCTTTATTTTGGTGTTATTTTATCACCACTGTGGTTTTTATTCTTTGCTAAACGTATGAAAAAAGACAGAAAATTTTAAAAAAAAAGTTTTTCTTTAATTCTCTTATACATTTTTGCAAATAAATAATTGTTCTTCATAAATATAGACCAAAATGTATACTGCTACATTTCTTTGATGAAAATAACCTAAATTAGTGTATATTATTTAGTATGTAGGAAAGTTATAGAGTCCACAATCTATGGTATGTATATATCTGAATATTGATCAATCCTACTGACGGACGATCATATTTCTTGAGGCCCAAAAATGTCAGGACGGTACAGATATCCCCCAAATTACCCCTTTTTGGAAAGTAGACAGTCTGCGGTATTTAGTAAGAGGCATGGCAAGTTTTTTGAAGTTGTCACTGTTTTGGAGAATAAAGAAATTAAAAAAAAAAAAAAAGTCACCATTTTTAAAAAATAATTTTTAAACATACTGTCACAAGTGCAGTACAGCGTCATCATATAATTAGTGTGGTGGTGATCAGGAACACTGTACAAAAGAAAAAAGTGTGTATGTGTGTGTGTGTGTGTGTGTGTGTGTGTGTGTGTATATATATGTGTGTATATGTGTGTGTGTGTGTGTGTGTGTGTATAGAAGTTAGTACACCCCTCACATTTTTGTAAATATTTTATAACTTTTCATGTGACAACACTGAAGAAATTACACTTTGCTACAATGTAAAGTAGTAAGTGTACAGCTTGTATAACAGTGTAAATTTGCTGTCCCCTCAAAACAACTCAACACACAGCCATTAATGTCTAAACCGCTGGCAACAAAAGTGAGTACACTCCTAAGTGAAAATGTCCAAATTGGGGCCAAAGTGTCAATATTTTGTGTGGCCACCATTATTTTCCAGCACTGCCTTAACCCTCTTGGTCATGGAGTTCACTAGAGCTTCACAGGTTGCCACTGGAGTCCTCTTCCACTCCTCCATGACGACATCATGGAGCTGGTGGATCTTAGACACCTTTTGCTCCTCCACCTTCCATTTGAGGATGCCTCACAGATGCTCAATAGGGTTTAGGTCTGGAGACATGCTTGGCCAGTCCATCACCTTTACCCTCAACTTCTTTAGCAAGGCAGTGGTCTTGGAGGTGTGTTTGGGGTTGTTATCATGTTGGAATACTGCCCTGTGGCCCAGTCTCTGAAGGGAGGGGATCATGCTCTGCCTCAGTATGTCACAGTACATATTGGCATTCATGATTCCCTCAATGAACTGTAGCTCCCCAGTGTTGGCAGCACTCATGCAGCCCCAGACCATGACCCTCCCACCACCATGCTTGACTGTAGGCAAGACACACTTGTCTTTGTACTCCTCACCTGGTTGCTGTCACACTCGCTTGACACCATCTGAACCAAATCAGTTTATCTTGGTCTCATCAGACCACAGGACATGGTTCCAGTAATCCATGTCCTTAGTCTGCTTGTCTTCAGCAAACTGTTTGCAGGCTTTCTTGTGCATCATCTTTAGAAGAGGCTTACTTCTGGGATGACAGCCATGAAGACCGATTTGATGCAGTGTGCGGTGTATGGTCTGAGCACTGACACTGAGCACTGACAGGCTGATCCCTCACCCCTACAACCTCTGCAGCAATGCTGGCAGCACTCATATGTCTATTTCCCAAAGACAACCTCTGGATATGACGCTAAGCACGTGCACTCAACTTCTTTGGTCAACAATGGTGAGGCCTGTTCGGAGTGGAACCTGACCTGTTAAACCACTGTATGGTCTTGGCCACCATGCTGCAGCTCAGTTTCAGGGTCTTCACAATATTCTTATAGCCTAGGCCATCTTTATGTAGAGCAACAATTCTTTTTTTCAGATCCTCAGAGTTCTTTGCCATGAGGTGCCATGTCTCCTAGATTGTAAGCTCCAAGGAGCAGGGCCCTCAAACCCCTCGTGTACTGTATTGTTACTGTACTGTCTCCCACTATAATGTACAGCACTGAGCAAACTATTGGCGCTATATAAATACTGTATAAAAATAATAATGTTGAACTTCCAGTGACCAGTATGAGAGAGTGAGAGCGATAACACCAAATTTAACACACATTCTCCCCATTCACACCTGAGACCTTGTAACACTAACGAGTCACGACACCAGGGAGGGAAAATGGCTAATTGGGCCCAATTTGGACATTTTCACTTAGGGGTATACTCACTTTTGTTGCCAGCGGTTTAGACATTAATGGCTGTGTGTTGAGTTATTTTGAGGGGACAGTAAATTTACACTGTTATACAAGCTGTACACTCACTACTTTACATTGTAGCAAAGTGTCATTTCTTCAGTGTTGTCACATCACATCACAGCTAGCAACACAATTGTATACAATGGATGGCATGAAAGGAAGCCATCCATTCTTTACAATTGTCATGTGACCTGCTGTTTTTGGTCGCAGCGGTCACATGGTACTGGCAATGGACCAGTGCACAGATCTGTCATTGGCTGTGTCTGAGGGAGACAGCTGGTGATACATCTCGCTGCAGTGCGGCGATCCGGAGAGGACGTCGCATGACGTCCACCCAGATCGTCGAAAGTCTCGGTTGGCCGTCATTTTGCTATTGGCCATGTGGGAACTGGTTAAAGTCCAACTGCAGGTGACTAAAAAATTATCCACTGCAGTGTGGCTGTGCCTGCACTGCAAGGGTTAATTTACGTATTGAGGTATGGGAACTTACCTGATCCTCCACTTCTCTCCACAATTACACCAGTACCTGCAGGGTCAATAGCTCTGCACTGGGTGTGTTAACACTGAGGGAAAGTCCACTGCCAGAGTGTGGGGGAGTGCCATTTGCCATAGAGCAGAGGCTTAAGTAAGTAATAAAGTTTCTCCTCTTCCCCTAGACAAAACAAGCAATAAACCATTGCAGTGCAAGCGCAGCACTGCTGCATAGGATAATTTGAAACTATCTGGAGTTGGGCTTTAAAACATTTATGTTTAGATCCCAATAATAAAATCTTAGCGTTCTGCCTAGCATCCCAGTGTAGTTATGTGTTCCTGTAGGCATGTAAATGTGTTTTGTATTAAAAAAGACTATTCATTTTAAATAGGTTGCCACCACACCACATTTTAAAGCTTCTATGGTGGCCACTTGTGTGGGCTTGCTCCCGAGCCCAGCTGCATGTGTCTATTCAGACACACAGCCAGTGCTGGGCCGATATTAAGCTCAGGTGAGCCAGGGGGGCTGCATGCAAAAGGTTTTTTTCTACCTTAATGCAGAGAAAACCTTTTGCCTTTACAATTACTTTAAATTACTAAAGCAATAGTGAGTGTTCACATTTCAAAGTATGCTTACTTAGTTTAGTGAATGAGGAAAAGCTGTGTTCATTGTAATCATGTTCAAGCCAAAATACTGTTTTTTGTTTTTTTTTTTTTTTTTTTTGTTTTTTTTTTCCCTCACACATGACTTGGTGTTTAAAGTTTACACCGCTTTGCATTATTTCCCACTGGGATTTGGTCACCTACCTAGTACACAGTTTAAGATTCTCAGAATAAATACTGCTTTTTTACTTGTGACAGTAACTAAACCTCAAATTGTATTTCAGAGTGTTCCTGAAATTCCACCGAAACCAGGAGAATTGAGGACTGAACTTCTTGGATTAACTCAAAGCAAAGAATAGAAACAGGAATCAAGCTGAATTTGTAATTTAAATGGATTTTTTTTTTTAAAAGCAAACATGCTTTATTTTTAAATACATTGTTTACATTAAGTGAACGTGATACTCAATTGTTTGTAAATTCTAATATTTCTGTTTCTGAAAATTGGACAATATACATGTCAAACTGACCATTAGTTTTGTATTTTTCTTTTTTTAATGGGGAAGCCATAA